CTGGGCTTCATTAACTTCAAATGATGCCCCCTGGTTGACTCGAGCGGTGCTCGGGCAAACAGGCTATCGTCTTCTAGCCCAGTCAGTCCCTTCATTATTTTGAAGGTTCCAACCATGTCGCCTCTCAGGCGTCTCCTCTCCATAGAGAAAATCCTTAAGGATTCTAACCTCTCCTTATATGACTTACCCTTCATTCCCGCGATCATTCTAGCAGCTAACCGTTGCACCCTCTCGAGGCAATTTATATCCCTGGGAGACCAAGCCTACACGCAATATTCCAACTGCGGCCTAACTATGGCCTTATATAGAGGTAGGAAAACCTCAGCCTGCCTGGACAAAAGGGCTGCCTTGAGCTGGAACAATTGCCCCCTCACTTTTTGTGCGGCCGCCAGGCATTGAGCACTAGGCTTAAAGTCCTCGCGGACCAAAATTCCCAGATCCAGCATTCGGTTTACTCGAGCGAAGACCGTCGGTTTCGTGGTCGTAGCCACTCGAACCGGAAGCCCTGCGGTATTTAGAACATGACACTTGGTAGCGTTTAGCTCTAAGTCCCACTTCATTGTCCACCGGACAACCTTGGTCAGATCAGCTTCAAGTCGATCTACCGGCTTTGAGTTCACTAGCTTGACGTCGTCCACAAAGATGAAGGCAGGAACCGCTAGATCCTAGACCAAGTCATTTATAAACAGCAGGAAGAACATCAGGCCTAGCACTGAGCCCTGATGCACTCCGCTGGATACGCTGCCAACGTTTGACAGAGCTTCTCCCACTCGAACTCTATAGGTCCGGTTTGTGAGAAAAGCTTCTATCCATCTAATTAGAGCTATTGGAAGACCAAAATCCCTGAGCTTCATTAGTAGGAGTCAGTGATTTACCGATTCGAAAGCTTTCCTGAAGTCCAGGTAGCACACTCCGACTTTCTGACCTCCATCCAACCTACTTGTAACTTCGTCTAAGAAACAAAGAAGGTTGCTCAGACACGATCTCTTTTTGAGAAAGCCGTGCTTGGCAGGGATAATCAACTTATGTTGAGAGACGTGCTCACAGAGAGCATTCCTAACAATGATTTCTAAGGCCTTACACAGCACGCTGGTCAAACTTACTGGTCTGTAGTTACCAGGTTGCTTGCGATCTCCACCTTTGTGGATGGCTACTACTGTGGCGGTCGCACCCGTCGCGGGAATAAGGACCGGAGTTCTTTTAGGCAAAAGCGACCATTCACCGGTGTTCTTCAAATTTCACCGAGTAGAAACCCCGAAGCCCAAAACTGGAACTCGAAGATTCCACAGCAACAACATCGATGACTTGGTCAACAGAGCGGAGGGACTGTGCTGGGACAATCTGAGCTCTATAGAGGAAACATTAGGCATGGATGGCGTTCAACAGGCAGAGGAGCCCCCTGCTCTTTGCTCGCTTTAAACGTCTCCGCAATAAAGCTATCAAAGTAGCACGGAAGGCTGGACTCAAGTATGAACTAGCCATAGCCAACGAGGCCTCAAAAACCCCAAAAGATACTTCGGCTACGCTCAAGCCCGGTCCTCATCAAGAAAAGTGATCGGCAAAGCCCTTCACATTAATGGACAACTCTTGAGCACCGACAAGGATATTGCCGACTCGTTCCTCGCCTCGTTTGAAAAGAGGTCTTTCACCTGGATAGCCTGAGCAACTACCCCACCCTCGGGCGGGTGAGCGACATACCAGATCTGGTGATATCTACACCGGACGTGGAGAGTCTTTAAGACTCTTAAAATCTCCAAATCCGCGGGTCCAGATAATATCCACCCAGCCGTCATACAACCGATAGAATCCCTAATTATCCCCCAACTAGTCACAATAATCAACGACTCTCTGAATACGGGCCAGATTCCGGAGGATTGGAAACATGCCACAGTTGTCCCAATCTCTAAAGGGGGTAACCGATCGGATCCGTCCAACTAACGTCCGATCAGTCTCACCAGCATCGTTACTAAGCTCCTGGAGCGTATTCTGCGAGACTACCTCAGCGCGCACCTTATTCAAATCGGTTTCTTTTGCAGCGCTCAACACAGATTCATCAAAGGCAGATCTTGTCTAACAAATCTGTTATGTTTCCTTGACGTAGTAACACAGAAATTAGACGAGAGAACGGAAGTCGAAGTGTGCTACCTGGACTTCCAGAAAGCATTCGACTCAGTTAACCACAGGTTGTTAGATTTCATGCTCCGAGAAACTGGGCTTAATCCGAAAGTCCGCAACTGGGTGAGAGCTTTCTTGTCCGGGTGGACCTACAGGGTTCGTGTGCGGGGATGTCTTTCGGAGGTGGGTTCCCCCACGAGCGGGGTCCCACAAAGATGCATCCTAGCCCCCTTTCTGTTTCTAGTCTATGTCAACGACATAACGTCAGGTTTTGAGAACCCTTGCTTTTTGTACGCGGATGACATCAAATTAGTTGGAAACCCGGACGACAGATACCCTTTGCAGAGTGAAATCTTAAAGATATGCGGGTGGTCGTAAAAATGAGACCTCCCAATCAACGCATTGAAGAGTTATCTGCCAGCCAAAATAACGCATCCCGTCCCCCGTCAGATCCTCACTACGGTCGGAGTATATGCAATCCTAGCTTACAAATCAGAGGCAATGGACCTCGGGATAAGAGTCTCCAACACCTTTTCCCCGTCCTCTACCACTGTAGCAGCAGCCTTAAAAGCCAGGCGAGCTCTTTTAGATTACGAACGGCAATCATCAACCGTTGTCCTAGTGTATTCATGCCCCTGTACACAGTCATCGTAAGGCCTCACCTCGAGTACTGTGTTCAGGCTTGGGCACCGTATCTTCGGAAGGATATCAAAGTTCTAGAAGACGTTCAGCGGTTAGCAACCCGGATGGTGTGGGGTCTAAAAGGACTCATCTGATCGGAAAGACTGAACTCCCTGAACTTGTTCTCTCTAGAACGCCGACGGATGAGGGGGGACCTCTTTGAAGTGTACAAGGCTACCAGGAAAATGAAGCAGTCCCCCATTGGACACCTGTTCACCCTGAGGGCCAACAACATCCTCAGAGGGCACTGGTACACACTAGAGAGAACCAGATGCAGGTTAGCAATTAAACATCACTTCGTTGCAAATAGAGTAGTCCCTGCATGGAACAAACTACCAGCTCGAATAGTTTAATGTCCCACAACGAAGGATTTCAAACCAGAGCTGGACAAGGAGTGGTATCTCTCATTCCCAGACCTGCCCCATGGATCAGGTTTCCCTAAGTTTACTGATGGAATGCATATAGCAGATATTGCGCCGTCTCCCTTTCCCTTCTACCTTCCAGATATTACTCCCTCGTGGAGAGTCGGAAGAAGCTTTACCCTCGCAGGCGAGTCGGTCCACAGACAGAACCTACCATTACCAGGACACCCAACAGGCGGAGGCCTCTCTATGTCCTGTGATTTAAATTTGAATACCGAGGTTCAGTGTGAGTGAATGCTTGCCGTTGGTTTTGATGGGCGTGCGGCTCGCAGGGACCAGTTCCACTGAAGAGAGTCGGTGAGGTCAGCGGGGCGAGGACGAATGACGCTGACCTGTGCGCCTGTGTCAACCAAGAAAGGTATCCCGGTAATTCGGTCTGCGACGAAAAATAGGCGACTTGGTTGTGGAGAGCCGGACACGGTCGTCACCTGGGCCGGTCGGCTGACTAGTTTCCCGACCTGGGGGTGAAGGTACGCGGTGTGAGGTACCTCTTTGTGGCGTCACCGTATCGACGGTGATACCAGCAAATCCCATTCGACCGTGAGCGAGATCGTGTGCGCCGGGGGCTGCGGCTCCTATGGTTGGAGCGCGTGCGACGACATTTTCGTGGGCGGTCACAAGCCAAAGTCAACGCCTGCACCTGTGCGACTAACGCCTTGACGCAGGCAACTAGCTCGGCGTTGTCAGTGGATTGCGACGGTGGGGGTGGTTGTGTGTAAGATTGGACCGACATCTGACCAGCGTATATCCTGTCGGCCATCTCGGCTAGTTCCGTAAGCGTGTACCGCTGGCCAAAATACTGTAATATGGACGACAAACTCTTTGGCAGAGCTTGTAGCCAGGACAGGCGGAGTATGTTCTCGTTGATGCTTAAACTAGCGGCCTGACCCTGCATATAACTTAGAAGTTTGGTCGGGGTGTCGAGGCCGTTGTCTCCCAGGCGCAAGCCACCTAGCAGCTGTTTGAGGCGGCACTCTACGGGCATCCCGAATCTGACTAATATCGCATCGCGGAGGGCGTCATAAGGTCAATCTGGTGAGGGGTTGCATACTATATCGCGTAAACCCGGGGCCATAGATCTCGGGGGCTGACCTACGAGTTACGTAAACTTGGCTAGCTGGTTGGTCACCTTAGCTAGCTTAAACTGGGCCTCCACTTGCGCCAGCCAGAACTCCGGATCCTTGGGAATAAACTCGGGCAGCCGTGCTTGTAGGCCCAATACGCTCGATTCGTTTGTCGCTGCCGTGGAGCTATGCTCTTTACCTTCAGAATATTGGTTGAACATGATAACGTAGGGGTGAATGCGGGGAAAAAATGAACAAGCTAGTTGGGAGGAAAATGCCCGAACAACCTGGAGATCAAGGTACTGGTGCGGTATAACCCAATGCTAAAAAAATAATGTCTAGAAACAGTGTCGAAATGCAACTACCAGGATATACGTATACGAATTTTATTAAAAATGCGAAAGCGAAAATTGGCTTAGCGGAAAAGGATAATAAATACAGTAAACCCGCTATTAATAAATGAAACAAATAACACCGGTAGACGTCAAAGCCAAAAGTTACAAAAAGTAATGGCTGTGCGTAGGCACCAGACTCACTGCAAAATTACAGACCGTGGCGGGCTGAAAAGAAACGGGGTAACTGAACTCGGGTTCACCAATTTAGCACACCAATTAGGGCCGAAGTCAACACGCGTATACGAATCCAACCGATCTGGCTTATCGAACAATTCCCAGAGCAAGTGTGAATTGAGGACGAAGTCAAGTACGAGCGCATGTAGTGTAATGTGGCCTGCAGGGGAGGGGTACAGAGAGCAAAGTGCACGATAAAACTCACCGGAAATTGAACCCGGTTCGAGGTCATATGATTTCTCGAAACGTAGGGTAATAAAACAAAATACGGTCTTTACATGTGTCAGGGGAATGGTGTTGGAAAATGAAAATATTGTCACTACACGCCATCTCTTTTTCCTTTCCCTAATTCCAGATAACTCCGGATCGCTCAAACCGGTAACAATACCAACTCGCAGGCGAGTCAGTCCCAGGACAGAACAAGCCACTACCGGGACACCTCACAGGCAAAGGCCTCCTCACGTCCTGAAATTTGAAATTTGAAATTTTACATCGATGTATTTCATTTTTACATATCTGGTGGATAAGATACTGCATCTAAATATTCTGCCTTTCAGAAAAAAGCAGAACGAACTTTTGACGAGCAGTGTTGGAAGCCAAGGAAACTAGCCGAAAACACAACGATCTGGACGCACGATTGGTCTCGACCACTTCCGTCCTGTGGTTTGAATTATCGAATTGCTCTGGGTATTAAAAATTTGTGGTTGAAAACTAGTGAAATATCTATAGATATTTCACACTTTTAGCAATAAATCTTTGAGTGCGTACTATACAAAGTGTCGAACCTTTCAGCGGTTCACAAAAGTTGTTTCTGATTCGTTCTAGTTTTTGTATAGTGGTGTTCCCAAAGCGTTTTTAGCCATTTTTACCCTTTTATCCGTTTACCTGTTTTCTGTGACCGCGTTTTTGAAACTTTTCGCACGTTTATCAATGAGTTCCGCACACAGCGAAAATCATTGTGGTGGCACGGATTGCAATTTGTATGTAGCGGATGGCATTCAGTGCAAGAGGTGCAAAAAGTGGTACCATCAAAAGTGCTCACTCTTAGCAAAGAGAGAGTACCTTAAACACCTTTAGAAGAAGAGTCTGGGGTGGGTATGTGTCCGGTACGAGACATTCGCCCTCGAGTGCTCACGCCTCGTACAGGGTCTGGTTGCTGCTGAGGGGTTAAACCCTAAGATGCAGATAAAGATTTCATATAGGTCGAAAATGAACAAGGGTAAACAGAGCATTAGTGTTAAACCGACAGAGTCGGTAGAAAGTAGATTGAAGCCGCAAGGGGGACAGACTGCTAAAAAGGAAGATACAGCATCTGGAGAGATTGCAGCCCTAATTTCGCGAATGGAAGTTATCGAAAGAGAATTATCCATGGTGAAAAATTCCACTCATATTATGTTAGGCAGGTTGCGGAACTTAATCTTCCATAATTTGAGGGAGCCATATATTTGTGAAAGTAGGGCGAGAAAGGAAGCTGNNNNTTAGTGGTAAACCGATAGAGTGGGTGGAAATTAGGCCGAAGACGAAAGGGGAACAAGCTGCTAAGAAGGAAGATACAGAATCTGGAGTGATTGCAGCGCTAAGTTCGCGAATGGAAGTTCTAGGGAGGGAGCTATCCATTCCACTCAAATGATATTAGGCAGGACGCGGAACCTAGTCTTCTATAATTTGAGGGAGCCATATATTCGCGAGCAAGGAAGCTGAAAGGCGCAGCCTCCACGACATATTCAGGATGACTGGGATGCCAACAAGCACTCCAATTGTCAAGTGCCACCGCATTGGAGTATGGAAAGGTGTTAAAGCATTTGGACCAAGGCCGCTGTTGGTAACCTTTCCCAGTATGTACCTGAGAGACACCGTGCTATCAAGTGCAGTGAAGGTAGACATTGTCACCGGTGGTCTTGTGAGAGTCACACTTGACTCTGGCACCCAAGCACCCAGGGTTACANCTATTAACAATGAGCCAAAGAAGGGCTATTGGTGTTCAAAAGAAATGATGCCCAGAGACGCCTTCATTTGAAAGAAAATAGCAATCCCACGCGCGATGCTCAGATAAGAAATGCTCAGATGAAATTCACTCCGATTATCGCACCCGCCTCGATGAAGAAATCCATTCTAAACACTCAAAGTCCTAGATCGGACAGTTGGGCAACTGTTGTTGCAAATACGTCGACAACAAGGCTGAGGTTATCAGTGCAAGATGCACTGATAAAAGGTCAGTCGCCTTCTCCCTTGGAAGANAAGAAACGACCCGAGCGAGATAAAGCTCAAGTCCCCTGATGTGGCTGTCTGGTATACAAATGCCTGCATCCTCCGGGGCAAATGGGGGGAGCTAAAGACCAGGACAGCATAAGCCGATGTCATTGCTGTCACTGAGACTTGATTCAAGAGTGCAGATACGGCTCTGGGTCTGCAGGAGTATACCGAATATAGACAGGATAGAGTAGACGGGAGAGAAGGGGGCGGAGTCCTCTTAGCTGTGCGGACTACCTGCCACTAATGGGAGTGGCCACTGCAGTTGGCTACTCCGAAAATTCAGGTTACTGCTTGCTACTTAAGGGTTGGATCGGGACCTATAGGCAT